AGACATTAGAAGCCTAAGCTATGCCTGTTATTTTTACGAAAAAAATTATCGATACGAATTTTACGAAACTGATATATGCTCGCAGATAAAAAGAAATGTTCTTTGTCCGAATTGATTATACATCTAGATATCAAATCGATATTCAGCACACGAATAAAACGTCAGGGTGTAGAACGCTTATCTTATTCATATTTTGAAGGGTGCATCGATTCACTTTTATTATTGTAAATAATTTTTAGCGATAAAACTCGGAAATAACTGGAATACAAAAATTGTCCTTTTTAGATTTTGTGAAATTTGAACGAACTTCAAGTCAACTTTAGAGCCAAATTTTGAACAAAAAGCCAGATTTTATTACACATGAAGGGTCCCACCCCATCGTGTGATAACGAAAAATAAAAAATGTTGATGGGCAGCATTGCAGAGACAGATACCAAATTAATTATTTTCAGTCAAACTTTTATTTTAGGCGTTTCAAAAAAAACCATTCCCCTCATTACACCCAAAAGATGGGTCGCAAAATGACCTCAACAATGTATGAACCTTTTGTAAAATGTATTTGTTATCCTATGCCATGGCAGGGAGAGTAAGTATTCAGACGAAATAACTCGTTATACTCAATGGTTAGAGAAGAAAAGTTAGAGATGTCAATAACGATAATATTCAGGTAAAAATTGCCTCAGTAAACTTTAAATAGAACTAAGGCGATAAAAAAGACATTACTGTAGGAAAATCTCACTTTGTACTTCTGGTATTAGGGTAGCCAAAATGGTGACGACGAGGCAGTAGGATACAAAGAGTTTGCTCTCAGAAAAAAAAAAACCGTTTTATTTCTGGCGAACAGCGACCGCGATATTTTCAACTTTCAGGGAAATATCAGGCAAATTGAGACAGTTGAGGTTTCATCTGCGCTCGAAACACGTCACCCTCTTTATCAAATTTTAAGTGTCTCTGCGATTGTCACAACTGAATTAGATCCTCTTGGATGTGGTTGGTTGGTGAATCTCGATTGTACTTAATGCATATCAATGGCCCCCATTTTCAATTCATAGAGGAAGATTTCCTGTATGTGTTTTTCAATTCTGGTTTCATTATACTTTCATTCATAACGTTGAGAAAATATCGTGACCCAAAGACAAAAACCACTAAGTTTCAATCTTCATGTAGCATCATGATAAGCTGTCTACAAAATCGGGGAATGGATGGCTATATGCTAAAGACTTTACATACTGAGTTAATAAGACTTTGTGCAGTCTCAACAAAAACTGTTATTGACATTCCAGACTGCCCCTAGAGGTATGGAATACTGAGGAATACAACTATGTGTTGAAGTTTATCCAAGACACAATTTCGAGTTCACCTGGCTGTTAGTGGGCTACATTTGAGTCTACATTACCCACAATTCCTCCATTCGCTCTGACGAAGGGTTAACGCCAAAAGCGTTAGATTTGAATTCTTCTTCTTTACGGTAGCCAACTCACATTATCAACTCAAAGCAATGATAATAAAGATTTTAAAAATATTTTGATTTTAGAAAGATTTTAATTTCATATTTGAACTACCCAAAATTACATATTTTCATGATGCCAATAAGGCAGAGCTTTCAAAAGTTCCTATTGATTGCAGGTAAATTTTCTGGGCACATCCCAAGTTTCCTCTTCCTGTTACAACTGGAGTTTACAACCCGCTGGCCCGCTTTTAAGGCTATTCAAGTAATGTCCATGTGAGTCATATGTGAGTCTCAGGGCGAGGCCTCAATATAGCTTCAAATCAAATGGTTCAACGTTGATAGAGTCAAGTGACAGCATGATAAACTTTCACAGTCAGTTGCAAACCAGTCTTGGATATGTCATAGTTGAAATATTGTTACGGCTGTAAATTAATTATTATGTGGATTTACATAGCTAACATAGCGAAAGGCTTGAGTCAGCGGACTTAACCGCGTACAAGGTAAGTACGTGATGTATGGGGAATTTATGTCCCCAATACATATTATGTCCTATACCCTACTTTACATATGCCCTCTACTTTACATATAATAAATCCCCATGCATGACATACCTGGGGCGTATAAAGATTATTTTACATAAATGACGTGGAAGTTGGTATTTTGTTGTAAATACACAGGAATATGAAGAACTGACTTGCAACAGTTTTTCTTCAAAATAGTTCCTATAGTCCTATTTCCCCACATGTTAGTCAATGACCAACTACAAGCGACGAAATTTTCCAGCTTAAGTCCAGAGAATCTTGGCAACTGTATTTACAATATGCAAACCTATAGGGAAAAGTAATTCGTGGCTAAAAAGGCCCGTACCCTTGAAACACATTACGCCGACAATGAGGGATCTTTACCAATATAGTGGGTATTTAATTTGGACTAATCGAGGGAGGCACCGGGTGGACTCTCTCCACCCCCTAAAAATGATTCTTTTGCCTTTTATAACTTTGCGTAGACTGGGGCACTGCTCTCTCACCCGCTCTTCCTCAATTTTCCGGATTCTTACTTGCTTAGATTTTATCAAAGGCATTAAAACATCGAGTCAGTATAAGAGATTATAATCTCTAGATCAGTAGCAATCCTTTTGCTGAAATGAATCTCTGGGATCTGGAGCGTTTAGCTGCATTATGACTCAATAGTGATTGTGTGCTATCTTATCACAATGTGTGGAGATTTCGCCATGTATTGAAGAGCAACAAATCCTTGAGTTGATCCTAGAAACTTAATCATCAGTACTAAGACTTCATCTCACGCATTAAACTTTGGAATGACCACCACTAAAATTCTACGTCGCTATTATAAAACATTCATTTTGCTGATTTGTTTCATTGTTAAAAGATCCACTTATATTTTTGAAATTTGTTTCAAAATATGCCACTGGATACTGCATCGCGCAAAATGCCTGTTGTTCTCGCGACATTTACTTACAGTAGCGTAAAAATTATAGATCTGTAATATTAGCAGCGACGAGTTATCTGGAGAGCTTTGATTGGTCAAAGATTACGCGGGCTTTCCTCCTCAGGGAATATTGCTTTAGCTCATTAACTGTTCAAGGCGAAATGGTGAGTTATAAAGGAAGCCTATGTTGAGAAGTCAGCCTTAAAACTCTGTTTTTCAGCATCTCTTTAGTACTTCGCAATTAGCAATTCAGTTGGTCACAAACTTCGCCGTAAATTGTAGACAGACTACTGAAAACTCGAAGTCTTAGACATGTACATCCCCAGCATGAGACCCTGACCGTCAGGGATTCTTGGGAACCAATCAGGAGTGTTTACTGCATTATTCCTTTGCCTTAAATTCTAATGATTGCAGGTGGTCGAACTTTCAAGATAAATGTAAACTTTCATTTTGACTGACGATGACGTCAGTGACAGTCTGAGCTCGTAAATAATATTTGGTTCTTGGATGCAGCGATTCTAAATGTAATCTCGAGAGAATCTGGACGGTTTGGAAACACTGATAGCCCTGATTATGCGGCATTTGATCAGACTAGTAAAAATCAGTCAAGTAAAAATCAGTAAAGCCTTTGACATACATCGCAGGACCCACTGTTAGCTGCAGTGCCTTTTTATTAACACTAACAAACAAATCTCGACGGCTAAGAAAGAATTTATTGATGTAAATTAAACCAACTGTACCTCGTAACAAGTCACCATGACTAGTACGATTAACAATTATTCACCACAGTGGAGGGGAATAGTCCTAACTATTCAGTTCCGACTAGCCAATCAGCACTTTAGAGCAGAATTACCACCATACGTTAAGGAAGGAGCTGCCAAGTACATTTCTCTGAAGTAATGTGATGAACACTCTTCCATGACCATCGCTATTATGACAACATTCATTTTGCTGATGTGTTCCATCGTTAAAAGATCCCCCACCTCCACCACAGGAAAACTCTTCATTAGCTGCACCATTCCCCCCAGAATAACCTCCTCCGCCACCTACTCCTCTTTTGTCGATAAGAAAACCACCACCACCTCCAAATCCACCATGATTCTGTCCACCCATTCCCCCGTGGAGATATCCTTTACCTCCTTTCCCTGTTTCGTGGGGATGATTCGGTGCATTTTGTCCATCACTAAAGAAGCCGCCGCCGCCGCCACCTACCATGATCAAAACATGATCAGCGGTCTCTTTTAAAGAGGGACGTTTTAAACTAATTAACTTGAAAGCGATTAGACAACAATTCGCAATACTCTTCAACTAATTTTACTTCCTGAGTTTTGGAAGTTTATCAAAAAAATTTTTGTAAACGGTTAGAAACAAAAAAGAAAAAGCTTTTGAGGTAGAGGTGAGGCCATATTGTTGCGTTTGACTCGCTGTTTAGTACTTCTGTTTCATCCAAATCCGCTATTAGCGAACAAGAAGTCTTGTCAACTTTTCCAAAAAAACTATGGGATCTCAGTTCACGAAGAGAACAGATCATTTACATCTTCGTATGCAAAGTAACGGTGTCCTCATGGTAACCAGCTTATAACAACATGGCGGTTCAAGTGACTTTTACGAGGTGCTCTCATTGTAATGATATCTTTAAAGTTTAATTAAACCATTTTAGAGGAAAAAGAAGTAATGTGCTTGATAACATGCAGTTGATCATCGCAGACCATGCTCTTGAAACGCGCATATGAAAAGTTTTTAAGGAAGCGTTCTCATTGGTCGCTCAATGTGTTTAGATGAGAGTATGTAAACTAAAAGCGATGAAGATTTTTCCCGTATTTACACAGCCTCCTACATAACACTCGAGAGTTATGAAAACCTTCGACTACGTAGACACAACCTGAGAAGCAGCCAGCGATAGTCTCGATCTCCTATACGCGATTCGATTTCTTTCTCTCTTCCTTTACTTTTATCTTTTCCTCTCATTTTGTACACTCATTTCCAAGCCTGAAGCTTGCCACCCATTCCCTCAAGGTCAAGAGTCGAACTTAGGTCAAGGTTAGGATTCACTATACCCAGTTCTCATCCTCTTGTATCACGCAGGGTAGTATGGGTAATTACCAACATGGCTGAAGAAACAGGTGTTGTCTGCATGATTCTTGTGCGGTTAAATTGATCCCCTAAAGCTCTGCGTGGATATGTTTAAAACCAATGGGAGACATCTTAGAATGGCGAGGAGATGCATACCAAGTTCTTGCATGTTGTGGAGTTTTCATTTTACTTTCTTGGGTACTAACAAAATTGTTAGGTCTGACTTGGAAGAGAGGACTACGAGTGGGAGACCCTCAGAAGGGCCATCGATGGTTTATGACAGAAATACTTGACAAGCCCACGTATTGTAACTTCTGCGAGCGTCCTCTTGTAAGAGGCGGTTATTGTGAAAATTGTGGGATCTCAGTTCACGAAGAATGCATCGACGGAGCAACCAAGAGATTTGCTTGCAAAGTCCTCGTTCTTTCGAAGAGAGAATACATGAACCATCAATGGGTTCGTGGGAATCTACCTCTATGTAGCACTTGCAGTGTCTGCGGTTTTCATTGTGGTACTGAACCGAGATTATGCGATCTCAGATGTGTATGGTGTCAGGATAAAACACATGATTACTGCCTTCGAAGCAAGTCAAATGTGTGTGATTTTGGAAAGTATAAGACTATGATGTTACCTCCACATTGCATTAGTTTGACTGTGGAAAATTGGAGAAGTAAAAAGAGATTTGTGGTTCGAGAAGTCAGCACACCGCCCATCAAAAATTGGAGTCCACTGCTTGTGTTTGCTAATCGTAAGAGTGGGGACAATGAAGGTGAAAGATTATTAATGGCGTTTAAAAATCTTTTAAACCCAGTACAGGTAAGTGCGAGTGGTAGCATTCAAAAATTGGAAGTGATCTCCAAACAGTTGATAGAGAAATGTAATGATTCAAAATTTTCTCTTGATTCAATTTTTGTTTCCAATTGAATTTTTCTATTTTTTCCCAGTAATTGTTAATTTCTCATAATTTGAAACAAAGGAAATAAAAATCATATCAGTGGGCATAGATTTTTTTTTAGCACCAAGCTAAATGTCTGCACATTTAGAGCTACATGTCAACTTGACAGAATCCTAGTTTATGCCATGCCATAGCTTGTATTTGGTGATTTTCCAATAAGGCAATGCACTTATATAAGTTAAGAGGGAGAATGCTCACTTTCTACGACATGAAGCCACTATGAGTTTTGCTACTACTCCATGGATAGGAAGATAGCTAATTGCCAGGTAGTAATTTGCTAGCATTCATTTATGATAATGATGCATAAGCAGTCACTTTTGACAGAACTCCTTTCTCTCTGGTATCTACTAATGATCACCAGAGTGCTTTCTGTGATGGCTGATCAAGACTTTTGGAGGATGGCAGACTCTTTCCTAACCTTTCAGTACAGATATTAGTCAGTGTTTGAACCTGCTCTGGAGTCTAACTTGCAATCCATTCTTCCATCACAAGTCCCTTATCATTAACAGCAAATTTAAGCAGCTGCTGAATGTTTAATGATATTTTCAGGTAGTAGACCTTCATGAGGTTCCTCCTGAATCTGCCTTAGAATTTTGTAAGCTTCTGCCAAACCACAGAACTCGTATACTGGTGTGTGGAGGGGATGGCAGTGTTGGATGGGTTCTTGGTGCTTTGGATAAAGTCAAGTTAAAGGTCAGTCAGGTTATGGTTGCACCAATAGCTGAAAATAATCAATACATGTTGTAGTCAAAGCTCTTCTAAGGGAAAAAACTAGGCACAGAGCTTTGTTTTCACAGTTTTATCTTTACAGTTTGAAGTATTGTTTGTTAAATGTTCTCAAAATTACAGGGTGACAGGTATGAAATATTTTAGTCAATCTATATTAACCTCTTTGCCGTATCTTAAGTTTGATCATTAAATTAACTTGCAAAGTAACTGGCTGCATACAGGTTGGCCAGTGGCCAGATCTTATTTACAACTCTGAAAATGGTTTCCACATATATTATGCAAGCTTATATTGTACCACATTTTTTTTTGTGTTGAATCAATAATTGATGTATACAGTATTCTTTTGGTGCAGTCTTCATGCACTAATCTCTTCATGCTGTGAACTTCTACTAAGCAACTTTAATTTTCATCACTCAATACATGTAAATGAATAACCGTGTTAACACAGAATTTTGTCTACATCATGTGCCTGGACACCAAGTGCAACACAGGAGAAAAATGATATTGAATTGAAAAAGAAAACAATGAAAAAATTAAGATTGTTAGCTAAAGAAACTTGCCATGTACAATTTTTTTTCAAGAAACTTATACTCTATTTTCTTTGTTACTAGGTGCCACCATACATTGGAATTCTTCCTCTAGGTACTGGGAATGACCTGGCGCGAGTTCTGGGATGGGGGAGTGGTTACACTGGTGAGGAAGATGTTAACGAAGTTTTGACATCTGTAATGACGGCTAATGTCACTCCTTTGGACAGGTATGGAATACAAGGCATGGATGAGAGCAGCATTAATTAAGAATTTTAACTGTAAATATTGATTTTTACCAACTAGTCTTTTTTTTGTATTATAATATTCTACCCTTCTGTTTATAGATGGAAAATAACTATTGAGAGTAACCGACGGTACTTTGATGTAAGGAGGCGTAAGAAGGTAATACCAGATTCTAAGCCATTCATTTGTATCTCCTGAATTTATTCTGTGAATGGTTCACTGTTTATTCCTTTCAAGTCAGACTGTTTGTTAACTAAGTTTTATTTTTATTTGAAAATTCATTTTTATCATGTGTGGTTTGAGACACTTAGTCCATATTGCACAATGAGAAATATCGTGAGTCTTGGCTATTTCCTTCCACTCTTTCATTAGGTGTTTTGGATGAATAATTACTTTTCTATTGGCTGCGATGCCAAAGTAGTTCTGAATTTCCACCTTCATCGTGAGAGTCAGCCATCTTTGTTTACCAGTCGCATTATTAATAAGGTAAATACTGATTTTTTTTCCAGTTTTTTTCTTTTGTTTTACTCTAAGTTTGATTGCACAGACTAAGCCTTACTGAACTCATTACTACATTGTTTTGGTTACTTGGCATTATACAGGTATCTCCTTTTTTTTTCTTTCTCTTCAGGCAGTGTATGGATTGTATGGTGCCAGAGATGTCCTTGAACAAGACTGCAAAAACCTACATGAAGTTGTTGAGGTATGAAAGGGACCATTGTCTTGTATTCAGACCAAATCTAGCTCAGATTGCATTTACTTAAAGTTAGTATCATGCCCTTTTACTTTTGAATATTACTTATTTTCAGCTGGAAATGGATGGAAGAAAAATGGAACTGCCAGAGCTGGAGGGAATTGTTTTTCTGAACATTAACAGTTGGTGTGGAGGCTGTGAATTGTGGGTTAATGGTGATGAGGAACACTCTTCACCACCAAGGTCAGTTTATTGTAACTGCTCAATAAAATTGAACACCATTTCTTTTAACATGAAATTCAAAATAAAAGTCCTGAGAGATTTACAAAATAAAAAAAATTCAAAACAAAAGTACTGCTAGTTGGGGTCACAGCTGTGACCTTTAAAAGGAGAGGTCATTAGAAGGAACTTAAACATTAAACTTTAGAATGTTTTCAAATAAGAGAAGAAAGAAAGTTAGATGAGAGCAAAATTTTTCCTCTGCAAAAGAACTTTGCCCCCTGAAAATGGCACTCAAACGCTTACTGGTTTGAGTTAGTGTGAGGAGATGAGTGACAATGACATGTGTTAGAAGCAGTACGCCTGGAGTCATTTTGTACGAGACCTGTTGTTAGTAGTGACTTGTTACCAACTATATAACATGATCCATTCCTTATCCATGAACAATATAAATTTAAGAAAGCAACAAAATACAGGTAACTGGTAATTCTGTTTACAGGAAAGATCTATTTTGTTCTTTTGGCAGCATTAATGATGGAATCCTGGAGGTAGCAGGGCTTTATTCCGCTCTTCACATTGCAAGGTTACAAGTCAATATGGCTGATCCACTATGTCTTGGTCAAGCACGATTAATAAAAGTAAGTACTGGAGACCAAAGGTTTTCTGTGCACCAGTCTTCTTTTGTTTGCTGAATATAATCGAGAGAACAGTAACTCTGGTTAGATGATGTTACAATGATATTTATTTATATAAAACAATAGTTTTATTTGATTTTGGATTAATCTGCTAATTAAAAATAATAAAATCCTTTTTATCACTTCCTCTGGGATGGTATTTATTGGAATGTTACTGGTAGAGTGGAAAGTCAAGAAATAAGGCATTATTTTATGGAAAAAAAAACAAAAACGTGATGCCAGTGACTTCAACATTATTATGTGGCAGTTGGGACTGTAAAGTAGAATATCAATCTGACAATTGGGAAGGTTATATTGTAATTCTTTTACTCCAAGGACTGGTTAAAATTTGACTTCTCCTTTCAAAAAAAGGGAATTTATGACTTAAGATGGAGGATTTTGTCATGATATATAAATGCATTTTCTTAACTTTTTTGCAAAGAAAGAATTGCAGCAAGAGGGGAGATTTACTTATCTGATCAAGGGAGTTACAATAAACACTATAGCTATCACCTTAAGATTTTCCTTTTTGGAACAAATGAAAACATTGTGACTTAAGGGTAGGAATCAATAAACTAAATGATCAGTTGTATCCCAATTTACATTCTTTGATCTCAGCCAGTGCATTTTGATCTCTTCTTGACAGCTTACACTGAAGGACACCAGGTCTCTACCGGTTCAAGTAGATGGGGAACCCTGGGAAGAAGGCCCGTGTGTGATTACAATTACTCATCATAACCAAGCCCTCATGCTGGCAAAAGGAGAGAAACAGGACTTGATATTATGACTGACCTAAGTGCCTTCGTTATGACGGTTGGAGCTGTAAGAAGATATGCAAGGCATTACAGAACTCAGGAAAAGAAGAAAGAATTCAACCTTTATGATACAGCTGGCTTATAGCTTATTATACCCAGGAGTATAGAGAGGATATTCCGGTTGGAAACTCTTACACCGGCGTCTTACAGTAGAATAAAGAGCATCTTTATGAAGGGACGTCAGACAGGGGCAAGCGAGTCGTTGGTTGGGATGTTCGATTTTATTTAACTTATTTTTCGTTTTAATTTGTAAAGATAGTTTGTTTCCCGAGACGTTCACGTAGTGCCCTATTGTTGTTTTTGCTTCAGAAATATAAATTTCCTTCATTTTGAAGTCGTTTTCATCAACAAATCCTTTACCGCCATTGTCAAGCTTTCACACACGTAGTTAATGTAAACCTTTGATGCAGACTTCTGGAACAATTGATTTCTGTTCGAGTAATCAAAACCGTGAATTAGAAATCTCTTTATTAGCCTTGAGAGTCAGAGAATTTATTACTTCTATCATCTTAGCCCTGAAAATTCTCCATACAGTATCTGTACTGAAGGGTAAACAGAGGAAGAAAATGTCCACCCACTCAAGACTCTCTTGATCGTTAAACAACTTCTCCTTGTCAATACTACAAGAAATGAATAGTAGGGAGAATATGCCTACTGATGTCAAAGTGTAACTTGGTGATAACATAGTGGTTAACATGATGATAGTACGCTGTGTAAGAAAGTACAACTGTTATTGACTGCAAGGAAGCGTTCCATGGAAGAGTCTTATTACTGCTTATAAGTTATAAGATTGTTGATAATTGAATTATAACTTCTTATTAAAATGTTTACATGATTATACTGTTCTTAAACCTGAGATCTTTAAATTAGATGTAATTGATTATAAAGTGTTCTAAGACGTTGTTTTGGTATAAAGCTAACCATACTTTAAATCGCTTACAACACAAAATAGAGTCTAATCAATTCATTGGTCGCGACTTGCCGACTGTCGCGGCATAACCCCTTCGCTGGGACGAATTACTCCTGGGATATATCATAACCCTCCCCTGGGATGAATTATCCTTTGGATAAGTTCGCAAAAAAAAGTTCAAAACCTGGCTAAGGGAGATCTGAAAAGCCCTGTGCTTCTCTGGTGAAGTGTTCCAGCGAGCTAATTTAATGCTCTTGGGTTGTGCCGGAAGGAGCGAAACGACTCTTCTCGATTGTTAGGAAAAACGGCTGTCCCGACAATACAGCCATTTTCGGCCCGCCTCTGACTGAGAGCCTGTCACAGACGATTCTCCCGCGCATAATAGAGTCAGTCTTAAAAGACTGACAGTGCGGCATCGGGATTCGAGCTTTTTAATTAATTTTTTCAAACAATGTACCGTAGAACTTCATACAACGCGCGATGTACAGTTTCATTGTTATATGCTGACTAAATTTGATTTTCAATGGTGAAGGGTTAAAGATGAGATTAGTTGAATACCTTGTCAAACTTGTAGGAAGTCATAATTAACGGATTAATCCACCTTAGACAATAAATAACAAGACAAATCACCATTGGCTTTTGCTATTGAACGAGTGAACCAATATTGTCGGCTTGTTAGCGACAACGCAAATTAGTTTAGTCCAGCGGCAAGGAAAAGAGGGGTTGAACTGGTAAAGTGAATAGATACACAGGAACATCTTTGGCTAAAGCTTTTCATTCTTTACGATGTGAAGGTTTGTAACTTCGTATTTTTTCGGGAAAGGGATGCAATTAAGATAAGTGTATGATTATGTACAGTGTAGATGTTCAACGCTCACTTGTCGCCAGGTGTTCAACTACAAGCTGTTCGTTATTAACTATTCTTTACTCATTTCTCATAAACAGTCGATACAAGACGACAGTTAAGGAAAGATTTAGCGGCGCAAACTTAAACAGGACCAGTATCTTAAAGATTTTAAAGTTTAACCAGTTTTGGAGAGGTTTGGGCCAAAATGCGACATAGCAACTTAGTTTATAAGAATGGGTACGATGTTGTTAAATCAAGAGCTTTTCAGAAATCCAGAAGTTATTTTGTCAAAATTTTGGATTAGCACTTTAATCTGGATTCATTAAACCAACAACAAAAGCAAACATCCAGCTAATATCTTATAACTGTCAGTTTGATTTGTTGATTTATTCCCGCGGAAATACCTTCCGTTGCTACATGTATATACATAAATACACCCTAGCTACAACCATTTGGGGTTCCACACCATTTTCAAGCTTTGAAAAAAGCTAATACTGTATTATTTTGAATCCATTGATGTTTTTCTTGCTAATTGGTAGGATGGGGAGAGAAAAATTTTTGTCACTCAAAGGCGTTAAAACGTGCCATGTAATGCCGGTGAGAACGTTTTCTTTTCAGCTTTTAACTTAATGGTTTCTTTATAATTTTTCATGAATTTGTGCCACTCAAGGGTAAGGATGAATTTGCGCCATGTGTATAAAGATATGACACTCAACTTCCCAGCAGAGCAGAGTTTATCAGTTTCCAAAATTCTTTTCCGGAGGATTGATTTAGCCTCTTTAAAAGTTGGTTTTAAGCAAATTTGTTTTTTGACGATTGTTGCAATTGATAAACTGAACGAACTCTTTGCTGGCGACAGTTCAACGAATTGAAATGTGCAAACGAATACCAACAACTGAAGATCGCAACGGAACGAAAACTTCGACGAACTCGTAACAACATCAATAACAACAACAGGCAGAGGGAAATTTGACAAAATTTGTCAAAAGCGTTAAGTTTCTCAATCTCCCCTTCCGTCTTCAAACGGTTCTCTTTGAAATCATTACACAGAGCCACGATTGTCTTTAGGTAAAGACATTCTCATATTCAATTTCTGATATGATCACCTGTACGTACACTACTTACAACAAAGCCTATTAACCGAGACAGAGAGCAATAAATAACGTCAAAAAGCAACTCAAATTATTAAAGTGGTCTAGAAAACATCAGTAAAACTGTTTGCAATTCTTACTTCTATATTAAAAATTCCTAGTCACTGATATTAAAAAAAAATTCAATGACCCAAGCGATAATTTCATTCATTCCTTGGGGTTAAGTTGTTCATTCAAAAGACAATTTTAAAGACGACAATCGAAACAATAAAAACAAAAGGGGATTATTGAGATTGGAACGCAAATGGTTCTCGCATAAACCAATTATGACATTTTTGTATTGACCGAGACATGTTTCAGCCATTGAAATTAATTTATCGCAGTGTGAAACTAGATTCCATAGTACTTTGACCTCTGTGGGATGCAAAAATGTTGCTTTTGTGCTGGGAACCATCAAGAAGACTGTCGTTTGTAGACTGAAAGTGCGTCTATGCTAGGTACGTTAGTCTTATCTCATTTTGTTTTCTAAAGTTTATTAGTTTAACTTATATTATGTGCAAATGTTCATTCAATGAGCGGTTGTTTACAACTTTAAAATTAGAGGACGAAAGTAACTTCTGCCCAAAGTTCATGACGCAAAATATCCAGAAAAATCGACTAAGCTGAACAAATTATTCATAAAATAGTTTTGCCAAGACGATAAAAGCGAAAAACTATTTCTTTAAGGATTGCAAGCGTCTCAAATGTGATTACAAACTACGGAAATACTGGTAGAAA